CAGACAGTGTATCATGTCAACTCACTGAAAAAATATTATGATAATTGTAACAATTTTCAATCCACAGCTAAAATTACTTTACCTGTATGTTCAAATGTTTCTGATGATGTGATACATGATAAATTGAAACCCCCAAAATTGGTAAATTCTTCCTTTTTAGATAATTTGAATGTCCACCTTATGCATTTGTCCACAGAGGAAAGCCATAGATTGTCTCAGTTATTTGAGACATTTCCCTCTATTTTTGGGGATGTCCCCAAAGAAGCGAAGGTTCCACCTCATGATGTAGACGTTGGTGACGCAAAACCCATTAAACAACACCCCTATAGAGTTAACCCGGAAAAAGCTGCTTTGATAAAAGATGAAATTGATTATATGCTCAAGAATGATATCATTGAGCCCAGTTTCAGCAACTGGAGTTCCCCATGTCTCCTAGTCCCGAAAGACGGTGGATCTTTCAGGTTTGTGACCGACTTTAGGAAAGTGAATGCGCTCACCAAAGCTGATTCCTATCCCTTACCTCGGATAGAGGACGTTATTGATAAAGTTGGTCAAGCTAAGATAATTTCCAAAATTGATTTACTTTCAGGATACTGGCAAATCCCCTTATCTGACCGTGCAAAAGAAATATCTGCTTTTGTAACCCCTAATGGTTTTTATAGATACAAACGTATGCCCTTTGGTATGCGAAATGCTGGTCAAACTTTCCAGAGAGTCATTAACTCTGTCATTGCTGACATAGACCAATGTGAGGCCTACATAGATGATATAGTTGTATTTTCTAATACTTTTGAAGAACATATTGTTCAATTGACTAACCTTTTTAGAAAATTGTCTGAAGTTAATTTTACTGTAAACTTACATAAAAGTGATTTCTGTAAAGCTTCAATTACCTATTTGGGTTATCAAGTGGGAACGAACCAAGTTCGGCCCATTGAAGCTAAAGTAGATGCTATTGTAAGGTTACCACCTCCCAAAAATTGTAAAGAGATCAAAAAGTTCCTTGGGATGGCTGGTTACTATAGACGGTTCTGTCAAAACTTTTCAGCTATTGCTGAACCTCTTACTGTACTATTGAAAAAGAAGCTTTAGCTTTGGTTTTATCATTACAACATTTTGAAGTCTATGTCTCTTCTTCAACCAATCCAGTCAGAGTGTTTTCTGACCATGATCCCCTGAAATTTACCTCTAAGTTAGGACAGACAAATCAAAGAATATTGAGATGGTGCTTATATTTCCAAAATTTTAATCTGGAAATTTCACACATTAAGGGTAGTGATAATGTTGTGGCTGATTGTTTGTCAGGGATGTAGGATCTTGTTGTACACATTGATCATGTGACATGCTTTGTGGTTCATTAGGACCATAAACAGGTTTTGTTTGAGTGTCACTCATATGAAAATGAGTGGTGTGAGTTTTGAATTTTTTTCAAAATTCCAATCCTGTTGAATATTTTGTTTATTTTCAGGTGAACCTTAATTAAAGGTGGTTTTTGATTATATGTAATCTTTTATAATAATATGTCTCATATGACTCAATTGATATTGTAGCTAGTCATTGAAATAAAGGTCTTACCCTGGCGGGTTTACCACTTTTAATATTCTCATGGAAAAATTGTAATACCCTTTCTTGAGGAATTTTGATGTATAATTACTTTTTGAAGGGTTACTCCCCTTTCACCAATTGTAAAAGTTGGAGTTACTTCCCTTTTATGTTCAGGGATATTTTCATCTGGTATTATGATTTTGATTGCCTACATTTGTAAAACATTTTTGTTATTTCATTGCCAGATTGGTTCCTTATGTATGTTTTTGTGGAACCTATCTGTCACTTCCAAAAAGGGAGGGGATGTGACCTACTTAGGTCGAGTCATTTTTATTTTGACATTGTATAATTCCTTATATGGAATGATGGTGTAACACCTGGGGTTTTTCCACTGACTTATTAAGGTGTTTGAGACATAGAAATTTTCCATTAAAATCTGATTGAATGATTCTGATCAGATGACTACCCCATAGCTCAATGGCTAAGATCTCGGCGCGTCACGGCGGCGGCCGAGGTTCGAATACTCGGTGAGAAACTGAGTAGAGTCTATGGTGCCTAGTGGTCTAGTGGCTTAGAAACTCGGCTTGCTGCCGAGTAGTGTGGCATAGTGGTTAGGAACACCACTAGTGGCCTAGTGGTTAGAACCACGTAAAGTGTCACACCATAGGAAACACAACCAGCACGATAACAGTAGCTCAAGTGGCCTTGAGTGATCTGTGAGTCTCCATTTGAGACTTGTCGCAGGCAGTTTTACCTTGATCAGGCAGCCGTCCATATTGTCCGGCAATAGATTCTGACCATTTGAACGTGAGAGAACTTAAGTCCTGTGTGTGCTACGCTTTCTTAAGTTGATTTAGTCTTCTAGTTTAATATTACTTGTCGCTAAGTAATTCCTGAAGCTACAACAGTGTTGTGTGGCCTGTGGCTATTATTAGACAGTGTAGAAATCTGTGATAGTGTTTTTTCCTGCATTTTGTAAGTTGGGTTTTTGATATTTTATACATTAAATATTTTATCTAGTTCATCTTTGTGTTCTGCCACAACTGTGTTCGCTGATTAAAAGGTCGTATGTAGATTGGATGAGTGTTAATTACAATAGTATCACTAGCTTCCCTAGACATTAAATCCGAGCCCTAGTGGGTCGTTGTGTTAAGTGTTCATCCACTTAGGCCGTAAGGTATTTGCATATGACCCCGAAAAAAGAATCCGGGGACGTTCTCCTTCTATTTGGCTGATAGATAGGTTAACGTTACAACTACATTCAATTATTTAATTTTCTTTTATTTCTGAAAATCTGGAATACACAAAAACAACACCTAAGTTTATGAAAAAGCAAAACTAGTACTAAAGAAGGTATACCTTTGTAAATTCAAGTATATATGTATATATGTTTATTACTATGGTATGTTTGAAAAGGTGTCAATTTTATCTATACAATTTGTTTGAACACAAAACATTCTACATAATTTAATATGTTTTTGTGTTGAATGTTCTATGCGTACCCAATTTACCCACACTCCCATTTTTCTTGTTGTATTTACCCACAAGGTGTGCCGTACGTGACAGATGAGTGTTGAGAACGGACATTTAAAAAAATAATGTAACATCATTGAATCTAAAACACACTAATTTAATTTTATTGTAAAGCTCAAACAGATTTTTTTTTCCAGAATAATTGATTATTGTAGTGAATTTGATTTTGTCTCTACAAGTGTATATTTTAAGTTAAATCTCGTTTATATAGCCAATTTAGACTCTGGCCTGTCGACCCTGGCCAGTCCGCGGTTTGGCCGGCCTAAAGTAGATATCAAGATAAGTTTTGGGCTTTGACCGATCAATAGGAGGCGATATTGGCGAATGCGCGCATTGGCCGACTTCGGACTTTGACCGTAACATATACATTTGTATTCAATCCATTGGCTTTACTTGTATTTTAAAACTTCAATTATATTTGGATAAATACTCTATTCTTGTAACACAAACCGATAGGTTTGAATACATTTGTATTGCGTTTAGCAAAAGACGATCTATGATTTCTATTTATAAATGACTATCTATAATGTCTTTACTTTATCAGATGGCGTTATAAGATGGCTTTGTCTAGCAGATGACGATCTATGATTTCTCTTTCGGCTGAAGTTTTATCTCACCGACGATTGTTTGAAACACTAGCTGTAGATCTGTAACAGTGTCTTTGTAGAAGTTACATCAAGCTCAGTTAAAATATATAGTTTAAAACATCTAGCTTAGTTAAAGTATAATAAGTTTGAAATATTACGCTTAAATAAAGTATATAACATATAAAATGTCAAGGTTAGTTAAAGAATAGAGGTTATAAACCATCAAGGATAGTTTAAGAATAGAAATTATAACACATGAAATTTAGTTAAAAAATACAAAACACAAAACATCAAATTTAGTTTAAGAATTTAAATATACGTCAGAAAACAATAAAGCTGTGTGTTCATGAGCATTGAATAAAACCAATTTTCAATCAATTATCACATGAACTTGTAATAAAACAAGAACGAAAATCACATAACATTAACTGGTTTATCAAACCGAACAAAATTAATTAAACATCACATCAGCGCTCATCAAAGCGAAAGGCAATACAAAATCCATGGCACTTTGAAAGTGTGGACCTGTAAACACAGTGGTTTTAAAAAAAATAATCACACATCGATCGAATAAAAAGTCTCGAGGCTATCAATGGGCGCCGGTCTAAGTAACGCAATACCCAACTGTTTCGGTTTCATGATAGATTATAGTGGTCTACGTGTAGTGCACTCCTTTAAACAAATGTAGATGGCAATGTTTAAATGGTGTGTCCATCTGCTTTTGATGACATGGCCACGTGGACGGGGAATATCCTGATTTATTGTGCAAACTGTCCCTCTACTGGGCAACCAATCAACTGTCCCTCTACTGGGCAACCAATCAACTGTCCCTCTACTGGGCAACCAATCAACTGTCCCTCTACTGGGCAACCAATCAACTGTCCCTTTACTGGGCAACCAATCAACTGTCCCTCTACTGGGCAACCAATCAACTGTCCCTTTACTGGGCAACCAATCAACTGTCCCTCTACTGGGCAACCAATCAACTGTCCCTCTACTGGGCAACCAATCAACTGTCCCTCTACTGGGCAACCAATCAACTGTCCCTCTACTGGGCAACCAATCAACTGTCCCTCTACTGGGCAACAAATCAACTGTCCCTCTACTAGGCAACCAATCAACTGTCCCTCTACTGGGCAACCAATCAACTGTACCTCTACTGGACAACCAATCAACTGACCCTCTACTAGGCAACCAATCAACTGTCCCGAGTTAGGTAGACTCGTGTCGACCAACAGCACACCACCTCCAATTTGAAACATTAAAAGCATCTTACGAGCGGTAAATGCCCCCACACCTACACTAATCACGTCTACCAAGTAGCAATAATATACTTTAACTGCGATACCTCCAGTCCACCATTCCACCAAGGTCGCGGTATTCTTAATACAACCCATATTGTTATTATATTTTTCCTTTAAGATAAAATAATGTAAAACATACAATTGTGACAACATAAATGAAAGCTTATAAAATATTTTATATTCGATACAGATAAATAAACAACATGATTAATTTAGCAAACGAAAATTGAAATTCATACTGATATTAAACTGATCTGAATTTCATTTCACTGAATGTCGCATTAGATCTGGGATTCCAGTATAAATCGAGTGTACCCCAAATAGCGTTTAGATGACAGTTCCTACAATTTCCAAACCACCACGCTCCGCGAGAGGAAACTGCACAGTTAATGCTCGAGTTGTCATTATCGCGGTCAAACGTAGAAAACCTCATACCATTGTGGACTGCTAGCCTGTCCCCGGCATTTCCTGTGTAGCCTCCAACATGTAGCCTGTAGCCGTCTGTCTCGCTAGAAATATTGAAGCTGGAATATTTTGCGAAATAATTTGTGCCACTGAAGGTCATATCCACTCTCAGTTCTGTTTGGCGGTTTGACGTTAAGAGATAAATGATTTCATTGCCCAGGTAAAAATTACCTGAACTAAAATCACCAAACCCATTTTTATATTCTGTCCAATTCCTGTAAAAATCTACAGTCCCAGAAACACGTCTTTGGAAAATGGTCCATCCTCCACCGTCTGACACTGTGTCACACATGACCTGAAGTTCAGATGTTAGGATAACTAAAGGTTGGGGGGCACTGCTATTTACTCCTAAGCAGGGATCTAGATTGCCTGTTAAAAGAATAAACTATTTATTTTGCTTATATATAACTATATATATATATATATATATATATATATATATATATATATATATATATATATATATATATATATATATATATATATATATATATATATATATATATATATATATATATATATATATATATATATATATATATATATATATATATATATATATATATATATATATCATTTGGGTCATGAACAAGACGATGCAATACGATTTTCTAGCTCTCCTCACGCCCTCTATATCGCTCTTAATGCGTGCGTAACAGGCCATTTTGCTACCAGTCTGTTGAGCTGTGGTTCACCCCGAATGTTTATAATCGTAGAGTCGGGTCGAATTACTGACGGCTATTAGGGGCACATAATTGAACTTTTAAGCGATTTTAAACTAGGGGGAGGTAAGATGTTCTGTTTGATCTTTTAATTGAAGTCTTTATACTGTCACCACGGACGGCAGCTTTCACCGGGACAGGGTTAGGGTCGGAGGGAGGGTAGTGTCAAATTAACGAATTATATATTTCTGAAAAGTAGAAAATAAAACAACTAAATAGCGGCGTATGCTTACTGTGCGGGTCAGCTCGTTTACTTAATGTTTTAAGAGAGCAAGGATGTATGGGTGGGCATACATAAAAAAAGAACGTGTAGATAATATTCAATACACGCTCATTGCTAAACCATATTAAACAAATCATTGTCAAATAATGTTTTCGCTTATATTCAGATAAATAAATGATACATTTTGTTAAAGTAGAGTAAAAAACCAACTAATTCATTAAAAGATATAAAATTCTGCCAGGGGATGTAATTAAAAAAACATTCAACTTACTCTAGATATTGCTATTTAAGTTTAACAAGTATAAATGCAAATTGCGCGGATGTCCTAGAATTTTTTTTATAATTCACGCCCAGTTAAAAAAGCGTTTGGGTTTGTTTTTGAGTTTGTGTCGGCTGTGGCATTTGCATTTGTGTTTTCTTTTGCTTTTGCATTTTTTTCAAATGTCTTAGTATTTGCGTGTTTTTTTTGCGTTAGCGTTTGTGTTTCGGTATTGCATTTGAATTAGAGTTTGAGTTTTTACTGTTTTTGCGTGTTGCTCTTGTTTTTCTTTTGCATTTGAGTTTCTATTTTTTTATTGCATTACGATTGTGTTTATGTTTGCGTTAGTGTGTGCGTGTGTATATATGATTGCGGTTTGAGATTGTGTTTTTATGTGTTTGCGCTTGTGTTTGTGTTTGCATTTATATTAGCATTGTGTTTGAGTTTACGTTTGTAGATGCGCTTGCGTTTTCTTTTGAGTTCATGTTTGTATTTTAGTTAGCAATTATTTTTGTGTTTGCTTTTGCATTTTGATTGAGCTTGTGTTTGTGTTTGCTTTTTGTCTGTGTTTGTGTTTGATTTTTTTTATTTGTGTTAACATTTATGTTTGTGTCTGTGTTTGCTTTGTGTTTGGGTTTCCGTTCGCTTTTGTATTTGCATTTGCGTTTATTTTTTGTTTTTTGTGTTTGTGTTGTGTTTGCGTAGTGTCTGATTTTGTGCTTGTGTTTGAGTTTATGTTTAAGTTTGTGTTAAGTTTGCGTTTGCGTTATTGCTTTTGTTTGCGTTTGCGTTTGCGTTTTTGTTTGAGCTTGTTTTTGAAGTGTTCCCAATTTGTTTTTATTTTTAAGAGTTTCACCTTGACGGAACATGGGTTTGCAGCTAGTTGTAGTTTTTGCCTATAGAATGAATGTCTAAATAAAATAATAGGTGACCAACGCTAAAGAAACGGGGTTTGGGAAATGTTGATATACCACTAAACGTATGGTGACTCATCATATGCAATAAACGATGGTCAACGCCTGCCATTCAAATCCACATCAGGATTTGTAAAAAAAACAAGTATGATACAACGGACGGATTTCCCTATTATTTGGCACTTTTTAAGCGTACGATTTAGGGCAAAGAGAAGTGCTGGGATGTTCATTCAACCATCAATAAGAAAGTAAAAAAGGAAAACATGCGCTAATTTAGGAGGTCATTAAGTCATCCTAACCAAAACATTGGGTTTATAAAATGTGTTGCCAATAAACAAGTAGTGGCTTATCACATGCAACACATAACCATAAATCGCGTACAATAAAATGTATAAGAAATGGCAGAAACCATATAACTTTACTTCACCTGTACACAACTTCAAGTCTGTATCTGATATGGAACCATCAGACAGGACCGTGATGTTTCTGGTTGTGTTACAGAACTTTCCACTTGAGAAAATTTTTCCCTGAACTTTTTGTTGTGAAGCTTTCAGCGGGACCAGCCAGGAACCTGTTACATTAAACAAAATTTATACAGTTACTATTAAGATTAGGAATTAGCTATCAAATAGTTGTAAGTATATATTCACTAAAATCTGATTTTTATTCACAACAGTGTAGACCGCTTTTCTCATTTAAGGGTGATGGATTTGGTCATCTACAAAGCATTAGTTGTGACGATAACCCAAACACAGACATTGTTAATTCCGATTCCCGAACTATCACATCTAGTCACACGCCTCTACAAAGAATTAAAGTTGTATTCGGCTAACACGTTGTAAATTGACATTTCCCACTAGGTGTAGAAAAAGGTGCAGTTAATCATAACACATCTTGTATCACTGGTTTCCTTTAAAACAAAATAGAATTGTGGTTATGTGTTAGTGTTGGTTATAGGTTGAGCTACAGCTTCAAAACAAGTTACACAGGTATTTTTTTTAATTTCTGCGCCAAACTTTTGTAATTACAATGATCTATGATTTATTTGCTAAAACGTGACAGTTGATGTCGGTCCATAATTCCTCTGGTTGTCATCTCAGGACATTAAGAGCTTTTTAAAACCTAAACATTTAAAACATGTGAACTCACCCAAACTACAATGTCTTGTGGTTTCGTTGTATATGTAGCTGTAGCACGTTTTGTCGGAACTTGAACAAAGATGGGCGCAGGACAAAAGGCTGACTTGGTCAAACTCTACATTGATGGGCAGTGTGGTCACGTTTGTGTCATCAACAGATTTATACTGGGAGAGTTGTATTGGGTCTATTGACTGGGCTTTAAGCGAAGAAAAAATGTAAAGTTTGAAATTGTATTGTTGGAAGGTAATGCACAAACTCGCTAATCTGCATGACTCGAGTTCGTTTACAAGACTGGATTTTTATACAAGCCTTAAGTCAACTTAATATGAAGGGCCTGCATAATTTTTTATCGTGCCTAGATCACTGAAGGAGTAAACATTTGAAACTGTTCTGCGTTACGGAAATGCATCCTCGTTACTAATAGGCTATATTTAACCTTCAAAAGAAAGTTTATTAATTTACGTGTATTAATTTTGAAAATCAAAAATTATTTTTATGTAAGTTTTAGTTTGTTCTATAAGAAAAGAACACTTATTTTAGAGTACATTTGCGTTCTCCACACATATACATTGCATTTTTTACCATGTTTGGTATGGGCCAACGAAGATCTAAAACACATTTAAAACAAACATAACCAACCTTGTAAGAGGATACACTGGATTACCGTAAAGACTACGACCCACATTGTGTAGCTGGTCTACAATCCTTCCAAAACTTGTACTGTTTTAAGACTTGTAACTCTTACCTGTTTATAAAGTAATTTTAAATTTATGCAACAACATCTTACATACGGGTCGTGCACTCATTAAATTAACGTAGAATACTGCTAGTGCATTAATAAATTAATGTGATATACGGCTGGTGCACATACAAATTTTACATCTCATCAAGAAGTAAAACGTCGACTAAATTGTCTAAATACTCCTAGTCTGTGGACGGTATATGTCAAATGTTAAAACATTTTTTGATTAGTTTTCTCCTTTTATAAAACAGCACTTGCACAATCAATTATTATAATAATGACTAATCTATACAGATCGTTGAATTATAGTTTTAAATTGCAAATACAAAAAAGTGCTCATCGGGTTACACTTGATATACATTTGTCTGTATTTAAGTTAAAAAATGGCAATTCATATTGAATATTGACCAAGTTGCCTCGCGACACAAAAATATTTAGTTAACGTGTAAGTGCTGCTTTATGTTGAATGTATATATTCTGAGAAGAGTGTAGACTGTTGATTATTGGGCATGTCATGTTTTATAAAGTTGGCTGCAGGCAATCATATAATGTAAAAAACCAGAGTAGCCATATTGTTAACATTATCGGGCAGAAAAGAACAACGGGACAGAGTAAAGCTATAGGACAGAGTAGAGCCACGGGACAGAGCCACGGGAAAGAGTAGAGCCACGGGACAGAGTAGAGCCACATGACAGAGTAGAGCCACGGGACAGAGTAGAGCCACGGGACAGAGTAGAGCAACGGGAAAGAGTAGAGCCACGGGAAAGAGTAGAGCCACGGGACAGAGTAGAGCCACATGACAGAGTAGAGCCACGGGACAGAGCCACGGGAAAGAGTAGAGCCACGGGACAGAGTAGAGCCACATGACAGAGTAGAGCCACGGGACAGAGTAGAGCCACGGGACAGAGTAGAGCAACGGGACAGAGTAGAGCCACGGGACAGAGTAGAGCCACGGGACAGAGTAGAGCCACGGGACAGAGTAGAGCCACGAGACAGAGTAGAGCCACGGGACAGAGTAGAGCCACGGGACAGAGTAGAGCCACGGGACAGAGTAGAGCCACGGGACAGAGTAGAGCCACGGGACAGAGTAGAGCCACGGGACAGAGCCACGGGACAGAGCCACGGGACAGAGTAGAGCCACGGGACAGAGTAGAGCCACGGGACAGAGCCACGGGACAGAGCCACGGGACAGAGTAGAGCCACGGGACAGAGTAGAGCCACGGGACAGAGCCACGGGACAGAGTAGAGCCACGGGACAGAGTAGAGCCACGGGACAGAGTAGAGCCACGGGACAGAGCCACGGGACAGAGTAGAGCCACAGGACAGAGTAGAGCCACGGGACAGAGTAGAGCCACGGGACAGAGTAGAGCCACGGGACAAAGTAGAGGCACGGGACAGAGTAGAGCCACGGGACAGAGTAGAGCCACGGGACAGAGCCACGGGACAGAGTAGAGCCACGGGACAGAGCCACGGGACAGAGTGAAGCCACGGGACAGAGTAGAGCCACGGGACAGAATAGAGCCACGGGACAGAGTAGAGCCACGGGACGGAGTAGAGCCTGATCACGTATGTGTCCTCATTAATGACATAGCAAAAACATTGCCTACATACTCACTAAGCAAACAGTATTGTGTCAATAGATATGAACACAATTGCAGCTTGATTCAATTGTTATTGATGTATGATTAATTTTCGATGCCAATAAAGAACAGTTCACGTGACAAGGTCAAAAAAGTGGTATCATGGTTCACCAATATTGAATTGTCATTCGCTTTTAGAAAAAAAATGTGTTGTCGTAATAGACTAGTTGCAAAGCTTGTATTTAGACAGGCTAAAACAAATAATTCTTTTTTTTTTTTTGGATTTCAGTTTTTTCTAGGTCAGTTACTAAGGATACCATTCGATGAATAAAACGGTATAAAAATGAAACCCTATGGAAAAAAAATCAATGCTTGGGAGCCGGTCGTTTTCCCGAAATACATTTACACAAATGCCGTTTGCACAAAGGCCGATTTCAAGAATGGACACTTGCCCAAATTCGACGAATGCCTAAATGGACAATTTCCCAAATTCGACTAAGCCCGAATCCCTGCCGATTCGATTCTTCTCTATATACGTTATAAAAAATCGATTACTTTCGTTTTAAAAAAAAAAAACTGTACACTTAAGTCACCATTGGCAACAATGATCTTTAATTATATTGAACAAAGCGCGAAATCTGCAGCGTCTGCAGATTTCGATTTAGCGCCCTGGGCTTTCCTGTAGGTCTTTATACACAGTGCGATAGGGAATGGATTAGTTGGGGCGTCATAGTCGCTTATTAAATTAAATCAAGCGCGGCAATTCGGCGACCCGGGCTATACCGTGAGCCCTATGGCGCTTAAGTTAATTTTAAACAGTGCATCAGACTATCGATAGTCATTTATAGTCACTTCCCAAATAGAATCAGGCGCTTTTGTCAGCACAACAGCAGAGTGCGTATTTTATGCTTATTTTTTTCACTTGGATCAAAGCAATTCGCAAGATGGTTAAACAACGTGTGTATTCAAGATAGATAAAATTTGTAGCTATCCATTACTTGAGAAAAAGAATTTACTAAGACCAGTCATCCAAATTGGATAATGTAACTAGGTTAGGGGTATATATTTCATTTATCCGTAAAGTAAACCGTCGTCTTAAAGGGGGATGAGGGTGGGATTTGTTGGTACGTCTTGATTGGGTGGCGTATGATTGATCAATAATCGATTTACCGATAGCTTGTTCTAGACCTTTTTCTTTCCTTCAGCTTGGAAGGTAAATAAAACATCTTTCAACTGCTAAAGAATGTCAGTTTACCTTAGCTACAATTGTTGCATCAATTCACGTTTAAATCGTTGTGCTGCTGGCGTTTTTGTTTTCTAAACGTTATGACTAATTTGTCGTTAATTAAAGAATATCTTTAGTAGAGTGTTAGAATTAATGACCTCTACATTAAATAAAAATATTTGACGTCATGTTTAATCGAATATTTAGTTACAACAATACACATCGAATTAAAAATTGTTTTAATATTTAACATCCATCTGTATTATGTTTTATAAAATGCAGCTTTTTTTACCGTCTACAAGTAACATAACTCTGTTGTTTTACATAGTATAGTGATATAAGAAGAAAAATAAATACTTGTATTCATCTTATTATTGGTTTCATAACAAAATAAAAGATGCATTAAAGAAAAATGTAAATGTTTATGGTAGTACTAGAATGGTTTACAATAGCTATAAAATTATTATTGTGATAATACTGTAGCTTGCATGGGTAATTTAAAAATCACAGTTGTGTTTCCTTGATACATTTAAACGTGCAATAAACATGTATAAATAAATATGAATGTATCCTTGACTATATATTTCCATTTGTACAGGTTCCCGTGACAATATGTGTCAAATTATGCAGGTGTCCCTCTTGACATGTGTCCAAATGTACCATATATATATATATATATATATATATATATATATATATATATATATATATATACATATATACATATATACATATATACATATATACATATATACATATATACATATATACATATATACATATATACATATATACATATATACATATATACATATGTGTGTGTGTCTAGTGCCATACTTTATATTTGTAAACGTTTTTTTTTCAGGTGTCCTTATCTGAAAGTATCTTAATCAAATGGTCCTGTGTCATAATTGTCATACTGTTCCAATGTTCTAATGGTCCTTTGTTCTAATTGTGCTTTGTTCTACTTGCTCCATATTATATCGCTCTTATGTTAAATTGATGTTCTGTTTTACATAGGATCTATAGAATGCACGGGTGACAAAGGCGCGCCTGGTTCGATTCAGTGAATGATTATAGTAGCCCACAGTTCACTTTGTGTAGGCGTCACGTTGCTCAAGGTGGAGCCCGGATGCACTGGGATATACATGCGCCGGTGATCTTGGTACAGTTAGACGTTGAAATCGATAGTTGCTCTAATCCAGTGCTCTATATATAAAGTGAGTGTAATCTCCCCTTAACTTTCTCAAATATTCTTATATAACACAACTTGGGATATTATGTTTTTATAAATTGTTACATACTTAAAAGTAGAATATAATCTCGTACATAAAAATAATTGCGCACCAAGTGAACAGAAAACAATGCGCGTCTAATTGAGCAAAACATTAATACTTTATAAATTCATATTTTTTTTTTTTTTTGACAAATTGGAAAATACGACTTGGTCACCGGATATTACTCAAAATTATATTTTTACTTATTTTATGAATAATCGTCTATCTATCAGAAACAGTACTTAAGTAGAATAAGTGCTACTTCCGGTTACCGAAATCGCTACAATGTTTATGCAGAACTACATGTGTTATACTTCATAGAGGTCTAGCAGAAGATAGCAGTAACAGAGCATAGTGTAGTAAAGTAGACCAATAGAATTTCGGGAAACGACCGGCCACGTTTGACGGTCAGATGACACTGAAGCGGTGATAGGTATCGGTAGAGAACGGTCGGAGATTATGGAGAGAGTTGAAATGTAGATGGTGCTAGGGATGTTTTCCCCCCTATGTAATTTTGTTTAATGAAAGGTAATATTTTTGTTGTCTATCAAAGAAAGTTATTTTTTGCTAAAGGACTAAGGTTTTTTTTCCAATTTTGTACATCCTACATGACGTTAATACAAACGATACGATTTAGAAAGAATGCAATATTATTTCTTTTTCAAAAATATTACGTTTACTTGACCAACAACGATATTTAAACGTTTAGATGAATATTTTATTAGCAGCATAAGCTAAATCGCTGTATTTTTTTTTCAGTTGATGCTAGGATTTTGTCTGGTGTATCAAAGTTATAGCATTTGCTTTGTTGATAGCCTGCATTAACTATAATTTCTATATTAAAAAAAAAAACATTTGTAGGCTTAGGTGATTTACCTGTCAAATATAAAGTGATAATTCTAAAACGTTTGCTATACTAATATATTAATAGTAAGAACATTGAACTAACGACTTTGGGACGGGAATAGAGGAAGTCAAATAATTACTCAATTGACACGTTAACTAAGCAACAGGAAGAAAACCTTTTGAACTATTATAGGTAGAAGAAATTAAATGTATAATAAATGCAGCCTAAACTGAGTAACAGACATGATTAGCTCGTAATAAATAGGCAGTAACTAGTAGCAGGATGCAGTAACAAGGGATAGTCTCAGAGGCGTAGCCACCCTTCCTGGCACTCGGGGACAAAACTTTCGATTTGCAACCCCCTTCAAACTTTCGATTTAAACCCCCCCCCCCCTCAAGTTTTCGATTTGCACCCCCTCCTTGGACTTTTGATTTACACCCCCCCCCCCCCTTTCAAACTTTCAAATTCTTTTTCCAACCCATTTTTGCGTCCCCCTAAGGCGCCCGGGGATAAATGTCCCCCCCCCCCCGACTTCCTCGCTACGCCTCTGCATAGTCTGAATACCACGTATGAAATAATAAATAAATTTTTCAGTCAGCTGAATATAAAATACTTCAATGACCTCAATTACGGCCTGTAAAAAATACTAAATCATTGTACTACTAGAAATCATAAATATAGCTTTTTTGTTTTTGTTTGTCTGTTTTAGTAGTTTATTTTTTTTTATTTAAAGACGATAATTAATGTGTTATTTTATCCATTCGTAAAAACACTTTTTTAATTATAAAAGTGTAGAATATATACTTTATTTACTTATTTTGGCAAGAAACATGGCTTCCATGGCAGACTTTGTTGCCTAACTCTTTTATCAATTTTCATTAGAATACTCTTGACTGTTATATTAGTTCAGTATACAATAATTGTATGTAGATAAACTAGGTTTAATCTGTGGGAAAAAAGTAGGCCAAACTTAAATTAATTAGTTAAAAAAAAGGTAAACAGACACAATACATAATTGCGTTTCTTTATTAAATTCATTTGATATAAATCTTTGTTTCTTAGCAATAGAATTGGTTACATTAGAATACATACTTTGGCTTGATTATATATTCAGTAAACATGTATTTGGAGGCTTAGACGAGTCGACAGCATGTTAGAAACGTTTTTTTTATAAAGTTGCTGGACCGAAACCAATGCTATTATAGATTTATTTTGTTGAGTTTTTATTTTAAAGTATTTCAGTTTTTTAAAAAGACAAAAGCATATTGGCTGAGGTATGAGGTCTTTTTAGATTTTTGTTCAGTTTTGTGTGACCATGTTTGACTGTCGGGAGCGAGAGGGGAAAGATAGTTTATGAATGAACTCGAAACCCACAGCTATCCAAGGATAGAGCGTAGTCTAGTGTTGCTAAAAACTAAACAAAAACACAAAAACACAGAAGTAAGCTATATGTGAATTTATTACAAATACTTTGTTACCTCGAACAATAGCTTAGGGTTGCAGCTTTAAAATTTAAGAAATATTAAACTGATCTAAATTTCATTTCACTGAATGATGATTTATACTTCTGGTCCCAGACGATACCTGTTAGATTAGTAGCACCCCATACACCGTTAAGGTTAGACCAGTAGCAGCTATCATACCACCACGCTCCGTGCCAATATTGTGCACAATTATCGGTGCTATAGTCATTGTCTCGGTCAAATGTTGTAAATTTCATAGCCTTGTGGTAAATCAATGCTTCTGTGGCATTTCCTGTGTAACCACCAACAAATAGCCTGTAGCCATCTGCTTCACTTGAAATGTTGAAGCTGGAATACTTGGCGAAATAATGTATATCATTGAAGATTAAATCAACTCTCAGTTCTGTTTTGTTTTTTGACGTAAAAAGATAAATATTCTCATTGCCCAGGTAAAAATTACCTGAAGTAAAATCACCAAACCCATTTTTATATTCCGTCCAGTTTCTGTAAAAATGTACAGACCCAGAAACACGTCTTTGGAAAATGGTCCATCCTCCACCGTCTGACATTGTGTCACACATGACCTGAAGTCCAAAGTTTAGGGTCACCAAAGGTCGGGGGTCAATGCTGACTACACCTAACCATAGATCGTGCTGGCCTGATAAATAAATAAATAATTTATGTTGCTTTTTATGTATTTCATTTAAGCTGCGTTTTATGAGTGAAGAGAGGGGTTGAGAGAGATGTTCACACAACTACCAAAAATATAAATCATCCCATAACACTGTTTGAGTAGTTAAGGCACCGAAGAGAGAGTGATGTGTCTAGTTCTAAGTGTTGTAAGGTTCGCCCACCCCCTCTCCATGCCTGACCACAGACAAATGAATCCTTCTATGTGGCTTGTGTTTGGTCACGAACACGACACAGTTGTTAGTTATCTAGGAACTACTGCAGCCCGGCCGGTGACCTTTACTCTGGAAGATAACACGCCCATTGATGCTGTGTTAGCATTAAATTAATTTTGGAATTTATCTCCTAGATCAGGGGTCTCCAAACTTTTCAGCCCGAAGGCCGTATAAACTATCAAATATCAGGTCGGGGGCCAGAGTTTCTTCAGGCATCTCTTAGGGGTATAAAAGCCCCCCGCCCCCCCACCCACCCCCCCCCCCCAAAGAATATATACAAATGTCCCCCATCCCTCCCTGGAGAAAAAAAGTCTGAAAGAAATACTGTCGGTTGCCGACAACACACTCGATGTACAAGTTTGTTTTCAAATTGTTCTTCACAACTGGTATGTTGTTCCAAAATTCGAAAGATACTTCAATGCAAAAGTTTTAATATTAGGAAAGTTTTCCTTGGGCACAAACTTATTTTAAAAAAAAACTTATAAGAAGCCCACCCGCCCTTCTTTGAACTTGTCTCTAGGTCATTTTTTTTGCTTGCAATTTAGTGACCAACAGCTATAGTTCATCTGGGCTTCAAATGGGTTTTGAAACAGTCTCACTTCTTCTGCCCTTAAATCCAAGTGAGAAAAACGGTGCTGAAACTGCAGATTGAGGTCCTTGATGAACATTTTGTCCCGTCGACAAAAAGATCTCCACGGGCCGGATGAGAGAACCTTGCAGGCTGCATCCGGCCCGAGGGCCGTAGTTTGGAGACCCCTGTCCTAGATGAATAGCTGTCCCCAGCTATAGAGCCTCATAGCTGGGGGCGAGGGGGGGAGGGGGGTTCGAACTAAGCATACATTAAGTATACCGACCACACCACGCAGAGATTCGATTATATAAAACGTATTAGTCTATATAAATTAAGACACATTGTAAATTGGTGGGAAATCAATAAGAAGTGAAAACACGTGTCATACAATAAATGATGTTAGAGTGCAAATTAATTGCAATCCATCAGAAACAGCAGAGACAATACAAGATGCTTCATATCACCTGTGCAAAACAAGAAGTCTGTATATGAGATAGAACCATCAGACAGGACCGTGACGTTTCTGGTTGTGTTACAGAACTTTCCACTTGAGAAAATTTTCCCCTCAACATTTTGTTGTGACGCTTTCAACGGGACTAGCCAGGAACCTGTTACATAAAAAAAGTATATAAATGTAAAAAACAATATTAAGATAGGTATTATATAAAAGTAATTGAAAAAAAATATTAAGATAGGTATTATATAAAAGTAATTGTAAAGCAATTGTTGATACATAGTACCTTATATTTTATTCGAGTGACCTAATTATATGGGGCAAGAATTACAAGGCCCTCTATTAAAACATTTAATGAAATTAAAAAAAAAAAATATTGGTTTGTTTTTTCTTTTTTTTTTTTGTTGGTCTGTCGTTCGATCGGTCGGTCGGTCGGTCAGTCAGTCGGCATGATTAGAAAATAATGCCCACGTAAAGAACATAAAAAGGGTCCATAGACTAGCGCGGAAAATATTACTTTAGATAGGACATTTTATATTTATTTTTTAAAAATGAAATGAGAATACAGTTATGTTAAATTTGATGTCCGATTGCATTGTAGTAGGGTCTTGACCCACGTGCCAAGTTTGAAAGAAATTGGTCGGTTTGAAGGGCTTGAAATTTCGCTCGCCAGTTTCGATTCAAAGAGACAAGATCCCTAGCAAACAAGTTATATTGATTTCATTTGGGTAACTGACAAGAGGGTATTGTTCTAAACTCCTGCGGCACACATTGGTAAGGATAAAAAATGGTTTAGGGATTGCTGGTTAAAAATAGCAATAAACAATGAACGTAAATGTTTATGGAGTTCAGTGTGTACAGTTGCGGACGTGTTGGGTAAAGGCTGGCCAGTCTCCCACTCGTAGTTATATTGGTACATTTATGTTTTACAGCATAACAAGTGAAAGTCTACACATGTGTGAATGTCGTGAACTCACGCCAACTACACAGTAAAATATGTGAACTTACCCAAGCTACAATGTCTAGTGGTTTTGTTGTAGATGTAGCTGTAGCACGTTTTGTTGGAACTTGAACAAAGATGGGCGCAGGACAAAAGGCTGACTTGGTCAAACTCTACATTGATGGGCAATGTGGTCAAGTTTGTGTCATCAACAGCTTTATACTGAGTTTGTTTTATTTGGTCCATTGGCTGGGCTGTAAACGGAGAAATTCTGTTAGGTTTGAAATGTGACGGTTCTAATGTAACAATTGGGTTGTGAAGTATATAAAAACACGGCTAATCTGAAATGTGACGGTTCTAATGGAACAATTTGGTTGTGACCTACAGAAAAACACGGCTAATCTGAAATGTGACCGTTCTAATGTAACAATTTGGTTGTGACGTATAGAAAAACACGGCTAATCTGAAATATGACGGTTCTAATGTAACAATTTGGTTGTGACGTATAGAAAACACGGCTAATCTGAAATGTGACGGATTTAATGTAACAATTTGGTTGTGACCTACAGAAAAACACGGCTAATCTGAAATGTTCGAATTTAATTCCTAGACTCAAATCCTAGGTCGGTGGTGGATTTACTGGGTGTTAATGTGGGTTTGCTTAAATCCTAGGTCGGTGGTGGATTTACTGAGTGTTAATGTGGGTTTGCTTAAATCCTAGGTCGCTGGTGGATTTACTGGGTGTTAATGTGGGTTTGCTTAAATCCTAGGTCGGTGGTGGATTTACTGAGTGTTAATGTGGGTTTGCTTAAATCCTAGGTCGGTGGTGGATTTACTGGGTGTTAATGTGGGTTTGCTTAAATCCTAGGTCGGTGGTGGATTTACTGGGTGTTAATGTGGGTTTGCTTAAATCCTAGTTAGAATAGATAAGGGAAGTTGGTTATGACTCGATCTTGGGGCGGATTATGTTGTTGGTTGAGTGAGGAGAGCTGCATGTGGGCAGCACTAAGGGCCTCCGATGTTTAGCGGCCTCCGAAGTTTTTATAAACTAATACAAACTCTATTAAAACAGAATAAAAGGAATCTCAATAAAAATAAACTTTAATTCCAAGAAAAAAATGACGTCTGGGATGTTGTCTTAATATTAAAATCGGATCTTAAATAACTGACTATATAGTTTCTACTATTAATATAAAAGGTTTTTTTGAGTTTTCGTTCACCTTCTATAATACAAAAAAAATATATTTTAATCTAAGTTTTCGGGGATTTCATTGAGTTAGGTCATGATTCGACTAAATACACCATAAGTTCGATACATAATCTAAGCTGGAAAGAAAAATTAAAAAAAATAGAGAAAAATGTTAAGGAACTTTATAATGATAAAGCGCATAGATTGAAACATTTCAATATACCATGTTTGCTTATATAATAAAATAAACATTACGAAGAGTCAATGTGATTACATTTCTAACCATTACAACCAATCAAGTGTAATTAGAATATTGGCTATTATAACATTACAACAAACCTTGTGTAATGATACACTGGACTGCTATAACAATTGCGGTCCACATGTTTGAGTACTAGGTATACAATTCTTTCAATATATGTATTCTACTTTGTCGTTTAACACGTACCTGTGTTAAAAAAGAATTAGATTAAACAGTTACTTAAAATTCATTAGGAGAAAAAAATGTAAACATCTAAGAAATAAGTACAAATTCACATGACCTCTCTGAGTTTCAGTACGTTCTCCAAGTCTGTGAATGTTAGTGATCATATTTTAAACTAACAATTTTTCTGATGCCTCTTTAAAAAAATGTAATCGTTCAATCAATGTTTTTATATTAGTGTGAACATTATCGAACCGTTGATTGTTAATTGTTATTTGTAAACATAAACGGATGTGTCTGCTGCAGTATTAATTTGTTTTTACTTAAATAAAATACAGTTATTTTAATAGGGTATGGTCTAGCGACCGACTGATCAATATATCAAACTATTAAATATTTGCTTTGTATTTTTAAAACAAATGCGCTCGCGTTTCTGTGAAAGTTTAAAAAAGTTCATGGGGTGCTGTATATTGAGTGCATAGTTTTTTAGATAGGTGTAGTAGTTAGATTGCTTGTATTTTTTTTTCGAACATATTGTTGTCATTCTTCAAAGAATAATTCAGAGTTTGGACACACAATAGAGACACGAGACTTAAAACTGTACCGAACCGTATGGATATTTTAACCTGATCACGCATGTGGCATCATTATAAAAAATTATAAAATTCATTACTTAAATATTGCCGAGGTAAATAGCATTGATGTTTAGTTATGAAAACTTACAATGTATTGTAATTGCTATTGATGTTTCATTAAACGTCGAGGCAATTACAAAGATACCGCACGTTCGATGGATAACAAAGCGGACTCGTATGAATAGGTTTCAGTTGCTTTATAAATGTAACGTATACTAACGTGGACCAACTGTTGTTCAGAGGTCTTAAAATTGTCGTTAAATAAATTATTGTTTTGTCGTATATTGTGTTCTTCTGATGTAAACTACTCTTTTTTCTAAAACAATACTAATTTAAAAAGCTTGTTGTTTCAAAACTTTTTATGTACTACGTTTTTAATCTCATGTTATTGTTTATGGGCGTGGTTTATTGTATCATCAGACTTACAACATCAGACCACAACATCAAACAACACCATCAGACCACAACATCAGACCACAGCATCAGAACGAATCATCAGACCACAACATTAAACAACAACAGTGCTAGGGCGTTACATAACCCACCTTACATAATCCAATTATATAATCACACATATAATCACTTAAATAATCACATATATTTTAATATAAAATTGCTTACCCGTTTACATGTATTCATTATATTGCTTTGGTTACACAATCATTGATATTTATTATACAAGCTTGCTTACACGATTGAACTAGACTTTAAAGAAGATTGTGTCAACTAAATACTAAAGGCCTGACCGATGATATACAGTATAATCATTATGATGTAACTATAATTTTTCATTGTGTGGACGATAGTGATGATAGAGCTTATTTAAAGCAAGACGTGTCGTTAATAGAATAGAAGCTATTGAACTAACCGGATGTTTTTCATTATAGTCCGCAACGTCATCTAAGTCAGATCGGGTGGGTGTGTGTGTGGGGGGGGGGGGCGGGGCCAGCGATAGTTAACACTAGGCCGCAGCGTCCCACACCCACACATACACTCAAACAATATGCTTTGATATATCTATCCCCATAAAATCGTACATTTAGATCCTCCTATTTAGCTGTTTTATTACATGACTCCCCTCTCTCATATACTAATGTTAAAAAAATCGTGGTCTGGACAAATCAAATGTAATGGTTCCATAAAATGTTTGGTAACCTATTTATGTAAATATATATCTGACCTACCTACGTACTGTACATGTGTGTCAAATAATCAACCTTTGGTTAACTTTGTAGGTTATATCCGAGTTATTATCAACATGAAGTATATATATTTTTTAAAATCTTTTTTTTTCATATTGGCTTATTAAATTGGTTTGTATAATTTGTTTTTCTAATTGGTTTATCTAGTTGGTTTATCTAATTGCTTTGTAAAATTAGTTTGTTTAATTGGTTTGTGTAACTGGTTTGTCTAATTTGTTTGTCTAATTGGTTTGTTTAATTAGATTGTCTAATG